AATCATACCACAACGTGCGCACGAGAACCCTGCGATGACCCCGTGGGTCTAGGGTTCACTTTTGATGACTGGACCCGAGGTCACGGGGAGGTATCCAAAGTAAAACTACGAATTGACTAGAGCGGTGTTCCAGCCTAGTCACGGCTTAGTTCCTAATCTGTGGTTAACCTAGTAAGTCAAGTATTTTCTAAATGTCCCCAAGTAACTTTTCAAAGTGAGATTACTTACTCAATAATTTTAATTATGTAAAAAGCTCGTAAAACATAAATAACTTAAAATGCCCTAAAATATATTTACATGTTATATATGTTTATTGGTTATTTGCCACTCAGCTTTGCTGAGCGTGTAGTTTTTTTCTGCACGCAGGTTCTAGCAAGGGGAACGACTGCTGAGGAGGATAGCTTAGACGTGGAGGCCGTGCCAAAGGAGTTTTTATTTAATATTTAATAGGGAATAAAACGAAGAACTAAATTTTACTTTGTTTTTGGGCTTGAACCCAAGGTTGTATTAACTGTGGATGTTTTACTTTAAATTTACGCGGTAAACGCTTTTTTTTAAAATTCCCTTTAGTTATCAAAAAGAGAATACATTTTTTTTTGAAGAAAAATATTTTACAAGTAACCCGGTTTTACTAGCACTCTGGTCTGGATGACTCCAGGGTGGGGTGTTACATTTTGGTATCAGAGCAATTGGTTTATAAAATGATCTTCTGACCTAACTTTAAAAAAAAAAGAATTGAGGAAAAACATTTGATGGAAAAGAAATAAGAGAATGAAAAATTATTTTTTAAAAAAAATTGTTCTACCGGTACGGCCACGTCTCAATGCTTCCTCCAAGCAGGTATTCTTTTCTAGAGCTCTTATATGTTATTATTAATGTTGTTGTTGTTGTTATAGAAAATAGAATAAAATAAAATATATTGCTGTATTCGGTTATGGATTAGCACATAGATGGTCTATGGGCGTGACGGAGTCGTGTCAAGCATAGACTCTAGCAAAACCGTCGTTATACCAAACAAGAAGAAGAAGTTTAATCGGAAAGGAGGACCTGGCTCTCGCCGCTCTAATTCACGGCAAGATCGTAGAAATGCACGCAGAGCAAAGAGACGTAGACGCAGATGGAGAATGACGCGCAGTCAGAGTCAGCAAGTTCTCCTAGCCGGAGCAATGCTGAAGTTCAACATAGGAACCTAAACATGAATCAGATTGCACAAACTTTGGAGGCAATGAGGAAATATTTCCAAGAGGAGGTGCCAAGAAATCCCAAACCGCCAGCCTGGACGGTTGACAGTTTGAAGAAAAATGGGGCAAAAGAATTTTTAGGGGCAGAGTCCGATGAAGGTGAAAAGGCAGAGTTTTGGTTATATCGGATCATGCGTGTACATACCGACATGCTGGTTCCAGAAGAGCATCGAGTACGTTTGACCTTAGCCTTACCACAAGATGATGCATACTACTGGTGGAGCAGTGTACCTGGCAAGCCGGATCCTATAACTTGGGAATTCTTCGAGGAGGAATTCAAAACAAAGTATATACCGCCCTGGTATATTGAAGCCCGACGACAAGAATTCATAGACCTGCGACAGGGTTCAATGACCCTTGATGCTTATAACCATATGCACACTAAGCTGAAACGTTACGGGCCGGAATTGGTGGCAACACCAAAACAAGAATGCACTAAGTTCTTGTTAGGAATGAACCCTAAGTTAATGGGTTTGATGGGAACTGCAACCACAGATGATTTCAAAGTCTTGTGGGCCCAGGCCCAAAATGCTCAACTTTTGCTGAATAGGATCGAAAAGGTCAATGAAAAGGAGACATCGACAACTATACCATCAGGAGGAGCGAGGTCGGCCCCAACAACAGTTTCACACCCAACAACATTCCCCGCACCATCTGGGTCCAAGAGGAATTTCAGTGGTCCGAATAGCTCTCACTTCCAAAAGAAGGCAAAATCTACTCAGAGTGTAAACCGCTCCCAAGCAGCTAGCAGCGCACCAAGATTTGAACCTGCCCCGACTTGTGCTACCTGTGGAAAGGCGCACCGAGGAGAGTGTTGGCTTGCTAAGGGTTTGTGCTTGGGTTGCGGAAAGGGAGGCCATTTTAAAAAGGATTGCCCTACAAACCCCGGTCGGGTACTCTTCTCAAAGGGAGGAGAAAAACAGCAGTCAGCTCCGAATCGTCCAAAGCCCACGACAAGCGGGTCTGTCAATCAGAAAGGTGGACAAGCACCAGCTAGGACTTATGCTATGATGGCACGTGAGGACCAAGCAGGTACCGATGTAATTACCATTTTAATTTCATTATGTGGGAGTGAGGTCCGAGCATTAATTGATCCTGGATCTACACTCTCGTACCTTTGTGCCAAAATACCTGAGATACCTGATCTTGCGAGGGAGAGGTTAGTTCACCCGGTGATCGTGTCTAACCCGCTCGGTCATAGTATGACACTGAGCTATGTTTATCGTCGTTGCCCTTTATTCTCTATGGGAAGACAATTTGATGCAGACCTTATCGAGCTTCCTCATAGGGAATTCGAGGTCATATTGGGGATGGATTGGCTAACTGCACACAAAGCAATCGTAGATTGTGGGTCAAGGACTCTACAACTCAAAGCTGAAGATGAAGAAAGAATCCTGATAACGGGTGACTTGCCACCAAGGGCACCGCAGTTCATATCGTTGATGCAAGCAAAGAGACTGGTTCGAAGGAAATGTGAGGCATATTTGTGCAATGTCCGGGATACCTGAAAAGAAGGGATAGAGTTGAAAGACATTCGGACAGTATGCGACTTTCCGGATGTATTTCCAGAAGAGCTACCAGGGGTACCACCTCCAAGAGAAGTCGAGTTTTCAATTGATTTGTTGCCCGGTACCAGTCCAATATCGATAGCCCCCTATCGAATGGCTCCTACCGAGATGAAGGAATTGAAAGCGCAGTTGCAAGAGCTTCTTGATAAGGGTTTCATCCGGCCAAGTGTCTCACCTTGGGGAGCACCAGTGTTATTTGTGAAGAAGAAGGTTGTGTATCGACTACCGGCAATTGAACAAGTATACGTTGAAGAATAGATACCCGCTACCAAGAATAGATGACTTGTTTGACCAACTTCGGGGAGTATCGGTTTTCTCGAAGATAGACCTCAGGTCAGGGTATCACCAACTACCAGTGAAGAAGGAGGACATTCCAAAAACGGCATTTCGGACAAGGTATGGCCACTACGAGTTTACTGTGATGCCGTTTGGGTTGACAAATGCCTCGGCGGTCTTTATGGAACTCATGAACAGCATCTTCCGACCATACTTGGATCAATTTGTGGTGGTCTTTATTGATGATATTCTGGTTTATTCTAAGTCACCTGAGGATCATGACCGGCATTTGCGTATGGTGTTGGAGATTTTGAGGAAGAACAAGTTGTACGCCAAATTATCCAAATGTGAATTTTGGTTAAAGGAGGTGACTTTTCTCGGACACATCGTGTCAGAGGAAGGAATTAAAGTAGACCCATCTAAGATAGCTGCAGTAACTGAGTGGAAGCCTCCCAGGAACCCTAGGGAAGTAAGAAGTTTCCTAGGATTGGCTGGATATTATCGTCATTTTGTGAAAGGTTTCTCATCAATAGCATCTCCATTGCATAAGCTAACTCGGAAGGATGTGAAGTTCGTATGGACAGAAAAGTGTCAAGAGAGTTTTGATCGGTTGAAGAAGTGCTTGACAGAGGCACCGGTGCTTACTCAGCCAACTCCAGGTGTAGGTTATACTATGTTCACCGATGCGTCTCATTTTGGGCTGGGATGTGTATTGATGCAGGAAAGGAAGGTTGTGGCCTATGCTTCGAGAAAACTCAAAAGTCACGAGCTCAACTATCCTACACATGATCTAGAATTGGCTGCAATCGTCTTTGGCTTGAAGATTTGGAGACACTACCTCTACGGGGAGCATACGGAGATTTTTACTGATCATAAAAGCCTCAAGTATCTTCCCACGCAGAAAGAGCTTAACTTACGGCAGAGGAGGTGGATTGAGCTGATCAAAGATTATGACTGTGCCATTGATTATCATCCTGGCAAAGCTAACGTGGTAGCTGATGCCCTTAGTAGGAAAGGGACTCTGAGAACTTCAAGTCCGGCCAACCCTCGAATCTGAGATTATTGAGGCTCAGAAACTTGATGAGTTCTGTAAAGACAAAGTTAAAGGGGTGGAGCAAGGTGATCAAACTGAGTATACCCTCGGTGAGAGTGGAGCTTTGTTCTTCCGCGGACGGCTTGTGGTGCCCACAACGGAGATGAGGGAGCGTATCCTTCGGGAGGCGCATGAAACTCGTTACGCAATGCACCCCGGAAGCAACAAAATGTTCCAATGTTTGAGAAGAAGTTATTGGTGGCCGGTGATGAAGCGTGAGATCATCGAATTTACCAGCCGCTGTCTGGTTTGTCAACAAGTGAAAGCGGAACATCAAGTTCCATCTAGGTTGCTACAACCAATTACTATTCTAGAATGGAAGTGGGATAGGATCACTATGGATTTCGTTACCAGTTTGCCTATGTCACCAAGGAAGCACGACGCGGTGTGGGTGATAGTGGATCGACTAACGAAATTAGCCCACTTTATACCAGTAAATATGGAATTTTCGATGGCTACTTTGGCCGATCGCTATATCAGTCAGATAGTGCGACTTCATGGTGTGCCTATATCCATTATCTCGGATCGAGACCCTAGATTTACCTCGGAGTTTTGGAAGAGTTTGCATAAAGCCTTGGGTACGAAGCTGAGTTTCAGTACAGCTTTTCACCCGCAAACTGATGGACAATCTGAAAGGGTAATCCAAATACTTGAGGGTATGATGAGGGGTTGTGTGCTGGACTTCGAGGGTAATTGGGAGAAGTATTTGCCACTTATGGAGTTTGCCTACAATAATAGTTACCAAGCAAGCATAGAAATGGCTCCGTATGAAGCACTGTACGGGTGAAAATGTAGAACTCCAGTCTGTTGGACTGAATTGGGGGAACACAAATTGGTGGGACCCGATTTAGTGCGAGAAACAGAAGAGAAGGTGAAATTCATCCAAGAGAAACTGAAGGCCGCTTTTGATCGACAGAAGTCTTACGCTGATTTGAAGAGGCGAGAGATTAATTATGAAGTTGGGGAGAAAGTCTTTTTAAAGGTATCTCCGTGGAGGAAGGTTCTTCGGTTCGGGAAGAAAGGGAAGCTGAGTCCCAGGTTCATTGGACCGTTCGAGATAACTGAAATCGTTGGGCCTGTTGCGTATCGTTTGGCACTCCCTCCTGAACTTAGCAAGATCCACGACGTCTTTCATGTCTCTATGCTACGGCGATATAGATCGGATCCAACTCATGTGCTCGAGCCTGGAGTGGTAGAGTTGGACAAGAATCTCACTTATGAGGAAGAGCCTGTGGAGATCCTTGATCGAGAAGTAAGACAACTTCGGAGCAAGAGTGTTCCATTAGTGAGGGTCTTGTGGCGGAATCACAGGGTGGAGGAATCCACGTGGGAAACAGAGGAGTCAATGCAAAGTCGTTATCCTCACCTTTTTCCGGACGGCGTGTCAGGTAAATTTCGAGGACAAAATTTTTCTTAAGGGGTGAGAAATGTAACGCCCTAGAAACCGGTCTAGAAATTTTAACTTTCTAGTACAAAGAAATGAAAAAAATATATATAAAATTTATATTTTTATATATATATATATATATATATATATATATATGATAAAATGTTACTATTCTTTGGAGAAAAAAAAATCATTCTAATGAAATAAATTTGTTTTCTTGACAAACAAATTTTGTTAAAATGATGTGTGAAAAATATGGAACTTAACGCTATAAGTTTTATATTTTTTTCCAAGAATTATTTAATAATCAAAACTGTGGAAATCGGACACGTAGTATTAAACCAACGGAGGAAGAAACCTTTTGCTTTCCCCTTGTTGGCCACGCCTAGGATCCTCCTCCCCAACCCATTCATTGCATCTCTCATTTAAGAGAGACTTTATGTTTAAAATATATTTTTTTTAAAAAAAAAACCATCCACATAGCCTATTCTACCTATAAATAGAGGCCTAGGGTGACCACTTTAGGGCACTTGATCTAGAGAGTGTTGGGAGGACAACGAAGCGTGAGAGCGAGGCCTTCCGAAGATCTGTTCATCTACCTTTCCGTTAACAACATCGAAGGTGTGCCGTTGACCCTAACCTTTAGCCGTATATTACATGTTCATATATTTTTGTGCATTCTTTTTTTGTATATATATCAATAGTGATTCAGATTTCAAAGAAAGAAAAAATAAATAATAATGAAATAACATGCAAATTGTGTATCATCTATATCCACGCCATATTTGTACATCCCTAATTTTCTAAAAGTATATATATATTTTGTTTATAGTACAGTAAACCTTCGGCACTAGTAAAAAAAAAAAAAATATTCTCCTTATATGAAATCTAAACACACACGCACACATATACTGTATATAGTATATACGCATATGCCAATGTTTAAAGAAACAAATTCGAAATTGCTATTGTGTGTGTAAATCATTGTTTTTCTTTTGTGTTTTCTTTCCTTTTGAAATGTACCCATACACATAGATGAGTACTTTAAAAGTCTGGATGTTTTGTTACTAAAAAAAAAGGTCAAATGAATGAAAACCAGTNTTGATGACTGGACCCGAGGTCACGGGGAGGTATCCAAAGTAAAACTACGAATTGACTAGAGCGGTGTTCCAGCCTAGTCACGGCTTAGTTCCTAATCTGTGGTTAACCTAGTAAGTCAAGTATTTTCTAAATGTCCCCAAGTAACTTTTCAAAGTGAGATTACTTACTCAATAATTTTAATTATGTAAAAAGCTCGTAAAACATAAATAACTTAAAATGCCCTAAAATATTTTTACATGTTATATATGTTTATTGGTTATTTGCCACTCAGCTTTGCTGAGCGTGTAGTTTTTTTTCTGCACGCAGGTTCTAGCAAGGGGAACGACTGCTGAGGAGGATAGCTTAGACGTGGAGGCCGTGCCAAAGGAGTTTTTATTTAATATTTAATAGGGAATAAAACGAAGAACTAAATTTTACTTTGTTTTTGGGCTTGAACCCAAGGTTGTATTAACTGTGGATGTTTTACTTTAAATTTACGCGGTAAACGCTTTTTTTTAAAATTCCCTTTAGTTATCAAAAAGAGAATACATTTTTTTTTGAAGAAAAATATTTTACAAGTAACCCGGTTTTACTAGCACTCTGGTCTGGATGACTCGGGTCATCCAGGGTGGGGTGTTACATTTTAGTATCAGAGCAATTGGTTTATAAAATGATCTTCTGACCTAACTTTAAAAAAAAAAGAATTGAGGAAAAACATTTGATGGAAAAGAAATAAGAGAATGAAAAATTATTTTTTAAAAAAAATTGTTCTACCGGTACGGCCACGTCTCAATGCTTCCTCCAAGCAGGTATTCTTTTCTAGAGCTCTTATATGTTATTATTAATGTTGTTGTTGTTGTTATAGAAAATAGAATAAAATAAAATATATTGCTGTATTCGGTTATGGATTAGCACATAGATGGTCTATGGGCGTGACGGAGTCGTGTCAAGCATAGACTCTAGCAAAACCGTCGTTATACCAAACAAGAAGAAGAAGTTTAATCGGAAAGGAGGACCTGGCTCTCGCCGCTCTAATTCACGGCAAGATCGTAGAAATGCACGCATAGCAAAGAGACATAGACGCAGAGGTGTCACCAAGGAAGAACGGAGCTCTGTAGGAACTTCGCATAGCATCTGCGAGGGTTTCACAGAGGAGCCTGCAGTGGACAAGCCATGAAGAACTTTTGAACGTTATTTATTTACACGCGCATTAACTAGTTTCTCTTTTGAGTTCTTATGTTAAGAATATGTTGGTGCTCAATAAATCCCTAAATAATGAAAGTCTTTTAAAGATTTGTGCCTCGTCGAAAAATCAATCAAAGGCCGAGTCGATTCATTTCCTTAACCACGATATGGAGGATTGTCAACTCTCCACATGGCCCAGAGTCATGCAATTCAAAGGCCCGTTTTGAAATATACCTTAGAACCCCAACTCTCTATTCAAGCATGAAAACATACTTCCACTATAGAAAAAGTTTATAAAAGAGAGAATCTATTATGCATTCAACTCTCATACATAATCTATTCACAAACCGCCAATACCTTACGTATTTTAATAAACTTTTTCTCCTAATGATGAACATATTTCACAGATTTCCATGAACTTCTCTAACCAATGACGTTTTTTCTATTCACATAGAGGAACACAACGTATTTTCAATAAAATGAGAATTGTTTATTGCACTTAAACAATCTCAATTTAAAGAAAACGGAAAACAAACATATAACATAACAAAATCACTTTATAACGAATTCTAAGGAAAATGAATCAACTTATGGGGCTAAGAAGTCCAAAATCCTTAAAATCAACGAACACAAACACAAGAAAGAAACACGTATGAATTCGGAGTTTGTTTAGCTACTTATGGAGCTAAAAATTAAAGGATTGACTTCCGGATTAAGTCCGGAAGCCAATTTATTTGGGTACCTATAGAAGAAGAAGATGAAGAAATTGAAGAATGGAGCTCTCTGGTTCGTTCCCCTCTTCTCCTCTGTTGCGATTCCTTGTCCAATTTATAGCCGGGAGGAAAACTTTCCGTTGGAGAGTTTTGAGTGAAGAGAGAGAACAAGGAGCCGTTGTTGACTTGATTTGGAGAGCAATTCATGGCCGAACGTTGAAGGAGAGGCGTTACTGCCGATTTGAATAGGTCGCTGCTCCTCTCCTGGTCTTGCGCTAGCTTCAATCGCAGGAAGCATTTTTTTTTCTTCTTGCGTGAGTTTGAATTGGGGAAGGAGACTTGGGCTTATCTTTGTTTAATTGAGTTGTTGATGATGGGTTTGGGCTCCGGTCCAAACTTAATCTTCTCTTTTCAAACTTGAGCTGCAATTTGGCCTTTTACTGCAATTTATTCCAAAACAAATAGGATATCTGGTAACTTGGTTTAGGAAAAATAAAAATATTAAAATAATAACATTTTAAAAAATGATTAAAAACAACTATTTTTGAATGGAAATAAAAGGTTTATAATAATAGGAATTAAAATAAAACTAAGCTAAACAAATGAAAATTAAACAATAAAAATACTAAAAATGCCAAAAAGAGAATAAAAAATATTACCCCAAACCCGAGTTATCAAATACCTCCACACTTAAGAGTTGAACGTCCTCGTTCAAGGGCCAAAAGGAATATATTATTTCTTTTTATCATCATCAAGAAGAAACAAAGTGAACTTTAAACCCCACACTTAAGACTTTATGCTCATTCGTATTTTAAAAACAAAGTGAGCTAGAAATCCTAAAAGGCTGGAAAACTAAGGTGTGGATTTTTTTGGTTTTAACAAATGCTCTAAAGCTGCTACAAAAAAGTTTCCTAGCAGAATCCTATGGTTTAGAACGGCTCAATAGCAGCGGTAGCAAGGTTCATCAATAAGCCTAAAAATATAAAAATCACTCAATTTTCTAAAAATAAAAGGCTCCTAAAACTGGTTTCTCTCTTTCTTTTTTTTCAGATTTTAATATCAAGCAATGGTTGATTAGGCAGCATCTAGATAGTATGTGGATGGCCAGTTCTAGAAAAAAAAATTCTACGGGATTCCTAAAAGGATTTCAAACATTTTAAGGGCCATTTTTACCAAGAAAAGAGCATAAGACTCAATGTGGGTTTAAAAAGTATACACTTGCCATCTTTCAGAATAAAGCCCCAAGGAAAATGATGAGGTTTTTGGGTCAATTTTTAAAAACAATGCTCTAATTAAGATGATATGCAACTAAGAATGAAAATATTTGGACCCAAAACCTATTTTTTTGAAAATTTTTTTGCCCCAAATGTTTTTTAAGCAATGACACAAGCATGAGCAATTCCCCCCACACTTAAATTATGCATAGTTCCCAATGCATCTATATGGTATGCAAATATTAAGCGAGCACAGACTTAGTAAAGAGAGAAGGGGAGAGGGGAATGCAACTAAAAACAAAGTATACGCAGCATCAACTCATCACTTTTCCCTCCTTAAAGTGCTCAATGGACCTAAAATCTGCAAAAACATGACTAAGGCCAAGTCTTTTAGTATTGACGAACTAAAAATCAGATTCAAAGAAATGCAGATTTCAAGCCTCAAGTCAGGTTCCTGAAAACACAGATTCTTGTGCCTTTTCGAAACAGAATACTGTATATGAGAAGGTTAGTTATGTCATGCATGTGCAAAGCAGCTCATATGCATCTATTAAACATCATAATTCAGCACATATGCATCTGATGAACTCAAAAATCAGATTGAGCACCAAGAAAAGATTGCAGATTTTTTAATATTTCAACACCTATAAGCTGTAAAAAGTGTAAAATTTGCATTTTGCACTCAAAAAATCAGCTTACAAGTCCAAAAATAACTTTCAAAATGCAGAACTTTTCATTAGTATCCAAAAAAATCAGTTGTAAACAATGCATATGTCTCAATTTTCAGCTTAAATATGTCCATACAATAGCACCCAAACCTTAAGGAAAATGAAATTTTACAATAGAGAAACCATTGGGTACTTGAGACTGCTGATCTGGATCAGAATTTTGCACATTAATAATGCAGATATTTACCATTGAAGCTCAAAAATCAGTTTTGAATGGGTAGGTTATTCACTTTTGCAAGCAAAATTATGACTTGATAGTGCAGATTCTCATTGTGCAAACTGTAATATCAGAAACCAAACTTTGAACACAAAAAGGATAAGGAAACTGAAGCTTAAACCTGGGACAGCTGGAACTACTGATTTGGATCAGATTTCACACCTGTTTGTGCAGATTTTTACTCCAAAGGGCATTCTTCTACCAATGACTTAGTAGCTCTTGAATATACACTCAAATAAATAGTTAGAAACATACATGAAGCAAAAATAGACCATTAAATCCAGTAAATGCAGCAGTATTCTGAGTACTCTTGATGATGAAGTTTTTTCATTTTTCTGATTTTTTTTTCTGTTTTCTAATTTTCTGATTTTTTTGTTTTGTTTATTAAAGCAAAAGATAATCAAGAAAACAATAGAAAAAACTAAATTAAGAACGGAAACAGTAGGTGGGTTGCCTCCCATAAGCTGCCCGGTTTAACGTCCTTGGCTAGACGAAACTAGGAAGAGTTCTAAGGTTCGGCTTCTAGTACTAACTCCTCCACTAGTCCTGCAAATCCTCCCTCACGAAAAAGTTTTAACCTATGATCATTAACCTTAAAAGTAACTCCAGAGGATTCATTCTTAATGTCTACCGCTCCATGGTTATAAGTTTTAATAACGGTGTAGGGTCCTAACCATCTAGAGCTAAGTTTTCCTGGAAAAAGTCTAAGCTTAGAGTTATAAAGAAGAACTTTATCTCCTATCTCAAAGTGTTTTCTAGAAAGCTTAGAGTCATGAAAGGCTTTTGCTTTATCCTTATATATCACTGAGTTATCATAAGCTTCTAGTCTAATCTCTTCAAGCTCTTGAATCTGCAGTTTTCTGTGCTTTCCTGCCAAATCATAATCAAGATTAACCTGTTTAACAGCCCAATATGATTTATGTTCTAATTCTATCGGAAGGCAACAAGGTTTTCCAAATACTATCCTGTAGGGAGACATACTTAGAGGAGTCTTATATGCAGTTCTATAGGCCCATAAAGCCTCGTCTAATCTATCACTCCAATCTTTCCTATCCAGTCTCACTACCTTTTCTAAAATACTCTTCACTTCCCTATTGCTTATCTCGGCTTGTCCATTGGTTTGGGGGTGATAGGCAGTGGAAATCCGAGCAAAGGTTCTCTAATGTTCTATTGCAAAAATGAGTGCCTCTATCACTAATGAGAATCTTAGGAAAGCCATATCTAAGGATTATGTGAGATCTAACATACTTAGCCACAGTTTGAGCATCATCTTTCCTGGTTGGTATAGCTTCAATCCACTTAGACAGGTAATCAACAAAGAGCAAAATGTAAACATAACCATAAGGAGGAGGAAAAGGACCCATGAAATCAACACCCCATACATCAAACAGTTCACACACATAAATAGGAGTCAAGGACAATTGATTCTTAGAGGAAAGATTACCAGTTTTTTGGCATTTAGGACATTTGATACAAAAATTAGCAGCATCTTTATGTATAGTAGGCCAATAAAAACCAGATTCCATCACTTTATGGGCTGTCCTATATGGTCCAAAATGTCCACCACTCTCTAAGGAGTGGCAAAAATTCAGAATAGAAGGAATCTCAGAGTCATCCACGCATCGTCTAATAATCTGGTCACTGGTCAGAGCATATTCTCCAAAGATAAGGGTCATCCCATATGTAAAATCTGTCTTGAGACAGAATTTTTTCACGTAAGGACTTAGGCATATAACGAGGAAAGGTCTTGGTAACCTTAAAATTAACAATCTCAGCAAACCAAGGGATGGTAGAAAGTGCCAACAGACTCTCATTTGGAAAGGATCCTGTGAAATGACTAGGATTGGACGGTGGTCCTTCTAAACGACTAAGGTGATCAGCAACTTGATTAAGTTTACCTGCCCTATCTTTAATTTCAAAATCAAATTCTTGCATTAAAAGAATCCACCGGATGAGTCTAGGTTTGCTATCCTTTTAGTTCATTAAATACTTAAGTGCAGAATGATCAGTGTGAATGTGTACCTTAACACCTAAAAGATATGACTTAAATTTCTCAAGCCCAAATACAACAGCATACATTTCCTTCTTAGTAACTGTGTAATTGACTTGGGCAGGGTCAAGGGTACAACTAGCATACTGGATTACATAAGAGGCAGTGCCTAACTTCTGTCCTAAAACAGCTCCTACGGCTCTATCGCTAGCGTCACACATCAATTCAAAAGGTAAATCCCAATTAGGAGCTTGAACAATAGGAGCAGAGCACAATTTATCCTTCAAAGCATCAAAAGCAAGTTTGCATGCATCATCAAACAGAAAAGGCACATCTTTAGAAAGTAAAGCAGTTAACGGAAGAGCAATCTTAGAAAAATCTTGAATAAACCGCCTATAAAACCCTGCATGTCCTAAAAAAGATCGAATGTCCTTAAGGTTTTTGGGATAAGGAAGGGTCTTAATAAGGTCTACCTTAGCGGGATCAACTTCTAAGCCATGTGCAGAGACTATGTGTCCTAAAACTACCCCCTTTTCCACCATGAAGTGACATTTTTCGTAGGTAAGAACTAGATTTGACTCAATGCAGCATTTAAGAACCAGATCGAAGTTTTGAAGGCATTGGTCAAAGCTATTTCCATACACTGAAAAGTCATCCATGAAAATCTCAACAATCTTGGTGGAAAATTCAGAAAAAATGCTCATCATACACCTTTGAAAGGTAGCGGGAGCATTACAAAGACCAAATGGCATCCTCCTAAAGGCAAAGGTACCTATTGGGCATGTAAAAGTTGTTTTTTCTTGGTCTTCATGGGCTATAGGTACTTGGATGTAGCCGGAGTACCCATCTGAGAAACAATAATGAGACTTCCCTGAAAGTCTCTCTAACATCTGGTCCATGAAAGGAAGAGGAAAATGGTCCTTCCTTGTTACTTTGTTAAGCTTCCTATAGTCAATACATACCCTCCACTTATTGGGTTTCCTAACAGTGATGGTCTCACCTAATTCATTAACAGTCACGGTGGCTCTTCCTTTCTTAGGGACTACGTGGATTGGACTTACCCAAGGGCTGTTTGCTATAGGGTAGATAACATCATGTTCAAGCCACTTAAGGATCTCTTCCTGAACGACCTCTAACATAGGTGGATTAAGCCTTCTAGGGTGTTCTACTTTAGGTATGGCATCAGGTTCTAGGCTTATTTTATGGCTGCAAAGTGTAGGACTTAGCCCCTTCAAGTCTGCCAAAGTCCAACCAATTGCTTGGCTATTCTCTCGCAGGACTCTTAGGAGGTTTTCTTCCTGATTTTTGGTCAAAGCACTGGAAATAATCACTGGTAGGGTCTGATCTGGACCTAGAAATGCATACTTAAGGTCGTCGGGCAGGTCTTTAAGCTCAAGTTTAGGTGGAGAGACTAAGGATGGAGCTAGCTTAGGTCTATTCTCAAGTAACTCAGCCCTAAACACAGGTTGGCTAAGGGTTTATAGCTCTTCAAACTCAGCAAGGTATTCAACTAGATTCAAAACTTCACTAGGAAAGCTGTACTTTAAGCATTCAAGTTCTACCTTGTCCAAACTATTACACAACACAGAATCAAGCACATCATCACTAGACAAGTTAAAAACAGCTTGAGCACAATCATCAATCACATCCATAGAACAAAGCTGATTATTTTCAATGGGACTTTTCATCGCAGAAGATAAGTTAAATTCAATCTTTTCACCATCAAATTCCAGCAACAAAACCCCATCATAAACATCAATCTTAGCTCTAGCAGTTTTCATAAAAGGTCTACCAAGAAGAATGGGTATGTCAGAGGTATCAGAACCCATGATCAACACATAAAAATCAGCGGGAAAAACTAAGTCATTGACTTTCACCAAGATATCTTCAAGAAGACCCTTGGGGTAAGTATAACTCCTATCGGCTAATTGAATCACTACCCCTGTCGGTTTCAGTTCCCCAATATTAAGCTTATAAAAAACGTCTTTTGGCATTACATTAATAGAAGACCCTAAGTCCAACATGGCCCTATCAAAGTGCAAATCACCAATAAGACAAGGAATGGTAAAAACACCAGGATCCTTACATTTTGGAGGAATTTTCTTTTGAAAAACTGCAGAGACATTTTCACCCATTCTTACCCGTTCATTCCCCGCTAGCCTATTCTTGTTGGTGCAAAGCTCCTTTAGGAACTTAGCATATTTAGGGACTTTCTTAATAGCTTCTAAGAGAGGTAAATTAATCTCTACCTTCTTAAAAGTATCAAGAAGTGCAAGATCAAATTCTTTAGGCTTTCTAGGTTGAAGGAATTTGCTAGGGAAGGGTGCCTTAAGGTGTGGTAGGGCTGGATTTCTATCACTAAGGTCAGTTTCTCCTTTTTCCTCAGATTTTTCAGCCTCATTGTCTTCATCTAAGATGCTGGTTGCAGGTTCTAAAGGCTGGTCTTCAGAGTCCAGAGGCTGAATTTCAGGTTCTAAGGACTGTTTTGGACTTCTACGTTCAACTTCTAACTCTTTTACCTCTTCCCTAATGCTTTTAGGTTCTTTGAGCACTTTTATATTCCTTAACTCTATAGCATTAAGGTTCTCTTTAGGGTTGGGAAAGGGTTGGGAAGGCAGCCTATTGTTCATTTGAGCTTGCATATTACTAATCAAAGTTTCAGAGGCTGTTTGTCTTTCTTGAAGTTGCTTAAGACTTATGTCAACCGAAGTAAATTTATCATCCATCTTTTTAAGCACTTGTTCTAACATCTGGGTTGCCCTATCTTGCTGGGGAGGTGGATTATTAGAAAAATTCAGATTATTACCCCTCGGAGGACCATAACGCAGATTTGGATGATCTCTCCAACCCTCGTTGTAAGTGTTAGAAAAAGGATCATACTTCTTTTGGTTGTTATTATTGAAAAACAAAGCATTAACTTCAGGATTTTGGAGTGTTGGACACGCATCAGTAGGATGTCCTTCCAAGCAACACACTCCACAAGGTTTACCCTTACTACCCCCTATATTACCCACAACAAGTTTAGAAATAGCATCAGTTAAGGCAGAAAGCTTATATTCTAAAGAAGATGGATTCCCTATCTCGCTAACCGGCCTCACTACAGTATCTCGAGTTCCAAATTGTTGGGTATTTTGGGCAATGGTATTAAAAAGCTCCCTCGCTTGAGTGGGGGTTTTGTTCACTAATGCACCACCGCTAGCAGCATCAACAATGCCCCTCTCGGTAGGCAAAAGTCCTTCATAAAAATATTGGATTAACAACTGCTCGGTTATTTGATGTTGAGGACAAGAACAAACAAGCTTATTAAAACGCTCCCAATATTCAGAAAAGTTCTCTCCATTCAACTGTTTAACCCCACAAATCTCTTTCCTAATTGACCCAATCCTAGATGCCGGAAAAAATTTCTCAAGAAAAGCTTTATGAAGGTCGTTCCACGTGGTGAAAGATCCAGCTGGCATATAGTAAAGCCAATCTTTGGCCTTATCGGAAAGGGAAAAAGGAAAAGCTCTAAGTCTGATTTGGTCTGGAGAGACTCCTTCAGGCACCATTGCACCACAAGTGATCATAAATTCAGATATGTGCCTAAAAGGATCCTCTTCAGGAAGACCATGAAACTTAGGAAGTAAATTGATAAATCCAGAATTAAGTTTAAGGGGTTTTTCCAACTCACCATAAGTGATGGAAATAGGTTGAATGGTCAAGTCAAGTGTAGCTAATTCTCTAAGAGTACGGTTAGGGGCTGCCATCTTAGAACTAGCTTGATTATTAAAAGTTGATTCTTTGAAATCAGATTCACTTATGTTTTGCACGCATACACTCACAGGTGTAATTTCAGATATGGTAAGAGCAGACCCAAAGAGTTCCACAAGATTATCCAAATTAAAAGAGGGTTCAGCCTCACTTACCTCACTCACCTTGTCGCTATTACTACCTGTTTCACTTTCGCTTTCTTCACCAATTACTTTACCGCTTCTTAATCGCATAAACACAAGCTGCAAAAGTGGTAAACAATGCAGTATCAGTGTTTCTTTAAAACACTTTAAAGAATGGAAACAAAATACTATTTAAGTTTGAACTTTTCATTCAATTTTATACAAGGAGCAGCACTTAAACTCTGCATATAAGGAGAAAAATCAGATTCTTCTTGAAAAATTCTACTCAAAAATCAAACCCCAGATTTGGATTTGTAACCATTCTTAATTTTCAGAACATATATAAGCATATATGGATCAGAAAATAAGTCACGAAATTAGCTAAGTACTTCCAAATTAGTTCCTATGCTTGTATTTAAGCCAGTGGAGTTCTAATTTCATTAATAAGGCATCTCAGGAACTTAAAAATCAGCATAAAAAGGGAGAAAAAAAACTGCAGATTTTGAGAAAAATCAGCAAGTAAAAACACATCAGTTTTTCTTTTGTTTAGAAAATTAGCCACTAAGACATACAAAATGATTATACACAAGCTGTACATACTAGGATACAACATCTATGCAATTCAAATATAACATATATGAACAGTAGAGAAAAAGACAAGAAAACCATAAAATACAACAATTGACAACAACATATATGTTTTTTAAAAAAAATATTTAATTCTATCCCTCTAATAAGTCACATATTTACTCAATATAAGATACAGAAGAGTTGAAAATATTTACAAGTAAAGAGAAAAACTATTTACATCATGCTTACAAGAACACATATACATACAAAATTGATTTTTTACTTTTTTTTACAAAACAATTTCCCCGGCAACGGCGCCAAAATTTGTTGGGGACCCATCGTGCGGTCCAAAACAAATTAAAAATTTATAAAATATCCTTAACTAACCCCCAATATACAATCAAATAAAAACTATAGCTAGGGCAAGTAGGGGTCGATCCCACAGAGAAATGTTGTACTTTTTAAAACCAATTTAGTATACAAACACGTTGTCACGAAAATAAACATAAAAGTAAAACTAAATACTACACAAAAGATAACACTTATAAAACTTATCATTGAACTTATTATAAAAATAAACACTAAAACTTATAAGTAACTTATATAACAAAGAACTTATAATATAACTTATAAACATAAAACATATACTTAAGATATACTAAAAAAGTATAAAAACTTATATTTATAACTTAAAACACAAAAGGGGGGGTTCAATAAATGTAAATATTTTTGGTTTAAAAGTTTTCTTATTTTTTTGATTTTTTGATAAAGTGAAGGAAAACAAGCTCAAAGAATAATCAACTTCTCTAACAAAGGTAACCCAAGAAACACCGCCAAGAACCCGAAACAAAATGAAAAAAAGAACAAACACAAGTCGAACATTACACGTATAATAGACACGTACACAATATATTACGTAACTTACGCACTTAAGAATAGAAAAATCAATCAAAGGCCGAGTCGATTCATTTCCTTAACCACGATATGGAGGATTGTCAACTCTCCACACGGCCCGAAGTCATGCAATTCAAAGGCCCGTTTTGAAATATACCTTAGAACCCCAACTCTCTATTCAAGCATGAAAACATACTTCCACTATAGAAAAAGTTTATAAAAGAGAGAATCTATTATGCATTCAACTCTCATACATAATCTATTCACAAACCGCCAATACCTTACGTATTTTAATAAACTTTTTCTCCTAATGATGAGCATATTTCACAGATTTCCATGAACTTCTCTAACCAATGACGTTTTTTCTATTCACATAGAGGAACACAACGTATTTTCAATAAAATGAGAATTGTTTATTGCACTTAAACAATCTCAATTTAAAGAAAACGGAAAACAAACATATAACATAACAAAATCACTTTATAACGAATTCTAAGGAAAATGAATCAACTTATGGGGCTAAGAAGTCCAAAATCCTTAAAATCAACGAACACAAACACAAGAAAGAAACACGTATGAATTCGGAGTTTGTTTAGCTACTTATGGAGCTAAAATAGCTTCAACAAAAACCGAATTCTACATAACAACCTACTTATGAATTTGAAACAATTCAATCAATTTGACAACAACTTGTGCAATAATTGAAGTAAATAAGAAAGAATCAATTCTCATTCATAAGGGAATATATATAAACATTTAAAACAAGAACATACACCCAAAAGAACACCAACTGTTATTTTTTTTCAGATTCTATTACATGAACAAGTAACAAAAAAAGTGATAAATTGGAAAAAAAACAACACTTGAACATAGAAACAACAAAAGAATTGAAAAATTAAAGGATTGACTTCCGGATTAAGTCCGGAAGCCAATTTATTTGGGTACCTATAGAAGAAGAAGATGAAGAAATTGAAGAATGGAGCTCTCTGGTTCGTTCCCCTCTTCTCCTCTGCTGCGATTCCTTGTCCAATTTATAGCCGGGAGGAAAACTTTCCGTTGGAGAGTTTTGAGTGAAGAGAGAGAACAAGGAGCCGTTGTTGACTTGATTTGGAGAGCAATTCATGGCGGAACGTTGAAGGAGAGGCGTTACTGCCGATTTGAATAGGTCGCTGCTCCTCTCCTGGTCTTGCGCTAGCTTCAATCGCAGGAAGCATTTTTTTTTCTTCTTGCGTGAGTTTGAATTGGGGAAGGAGACTTGGCTTATCTTTGTTTAATTGAGTTGTTGATGATATCTCTCTTTTCAAACTTGAGCTTCAATTTGGCCTTTTACTGCAATTTATTCCAAAACAAATAGGATATCTGGTAACTTGGTTTAGGAAAAATAAAAATATTAAAATAATAACATTTTAAAAAATGCTTTAAAACAACTATTTTTGAATGGAAATAAAAGGTTTATAATAATAGGAATTAAAATAATACTAAGCTAAACAAATGAAAATTAAACAATAAAACTACTAAAAATGCCAAAAAGAGAATAAAAAATATTACCCCAAACCCGAGTTATCAAATACCTCCACACTTAAGAGTTGAACATCCTCGTTCAAGGGCCAAAAGGAATATATTATTTCTTTTTATCATCATCAAGAAGAAACAAAGTGAACTTTAAACCCCACACTTAAGACTTTATGCTCATTCGTATTTTAAAAACAAAGTGAGCTAGAAATCCTAAAAGGCTGGAAAACTAAGGTGTGGATTTTTTTGGTTTTAACAAATGCTCTAAAGCTGCTACAAAAACGTTTCCTAGCAGAATCCTATGGTTCATCAATAAGCCTAAAAATATAAAAATCACTCAATTTTCTAAAAATAAAAGACTCCTAAAACTGATTTCTCTCTTTCTTTTTTTTCAGATTTTAATATCAAGCAATGGTTGATTAGGCAGCATCTAGATAGTATGTGGATGGCCAGTTCTAGAAAACAAAATTCTGGTAACTTGGTTTAGGAAAAATAAAATATTAAAATAATAACATTTTAAAAAATGATTAAAAACAACTATTTTTTAATGGAAATAAAAGGTTTATAATAATAGGAATTAAAATAAAACTAAGCTAAACAAATGAAAATTAAACAAAAAAAATACTAAAAAGGCCAAAAAGAGAATAAAAAATATTACCCCAAACCCGAGTTATCAGTATCAAACTCATTAAGAGGTGCTGGGGTGCATGAAATCTAAAAATCATGAAAAAAGGAAATTTTTAGCCTTGGTATGCTAAGAGAAAAGTTAAATATGGCACAAGTATTGAGGGTTAGGGTTACAAGCCAGAAGGAGGGGAGGGAGGGACGAAGAGAGAGAGAGAAGGATGGAGAAAACGAGAGAAGAGACAGTGGAAGGAAATCGGGAGTCGTGGGTGGGAAAGGATAAGATTCTGGTGCAAACACGGGGCGAACGTAGAACTTCAGATTTCTGGATAGTGGATCTGAGAGAATTCTTACACACGCTCATCATATACCAATTCATCTATTCCAACAAATCATAGCAACCCTTGAAGCGTAAGAACCGAGATAATGAATTGGGGGAAATCCGGTAGGTTTAGAATCTTACCCGGAGCAATTGTGCGCTTGTTGGTGTCCTTCTTGGGAGCCATTTGGAGATGAAATCTTGGAGTTTGGATGGAGAAGGAGAGCCGAAAATGGAATTGCAGTCGTCGGAAGAAGGAGAGGGG